TTTCAGGTGAAGCGTGGATGTCGGGGTCATTCTGGGGTGATTTTAGGGTCGATTTTAGATGGGAATTAGGAATAGACGTTGGGGAGGAGTTGGGGGCAATCTGGAGTTGCACCTGAGGTGGTTTCGGGGCAGATTTTTAGGTGGCTTTGGGCGCATTTCAGGAGCGACTCTGGGTTGATGGGGCGGGTTTTGGGGTGATTGTTTCGGGGTGGTTTTGGGGCTCTCACCGATGCCGTAGGTGACGTTGAGTGGCTCGGTCTTGGCCAGCAGCCCCACGCCGCTGTAGCCCGGCCTGTCCTTGGCGCTGGACCAGAACTGGTGGGGGAGCCCCGGCAGGGCCCGGATTTCGGGGGGCACGGCCGAGACCGCACACTTGGTCTCCTGCAGGCACAGCACGTCCGGGGCCTCCTCCTGCACCCACTGAGGGGGCCCCAAATCAGACCAGGAATTCCTAAATCGGACTACATCGTACCCGGGGGGGCGGGGGGAGGGGGGAGCAGAATTATGCTGGGAACGAGTGTCCAGGGGGAACCCTAAAATCACGTCGAGGGACGCCCAAAAGGCACGAGGAACCTCTCCGAAATTTATGAGGACCCACAGAAATTGATGGGACTTTGCCCCAGCTGCCCCTGAGTGCCCCCCAAAACCTGTGGCTGGCCCCTCCCACGGCCGTAAGACCCTCCCCCATCTCCACAAGCCCTTCCCTCCACTCAACCGGGCCCTGCCCCAAAACCCCACCCGGCCCCGCCCTGACTCACCTGGACGCCACCTTTGCGCACCCAGGCCCGCAGCCCGTCCACGTTCCACGAGGTCACCTTGAGGGTCCAGCGCCGCCCCTCGGGCGTGGTCTCGCGGGTGGGCGGGTCCTCGTAAAGCGGGGCCGGCGCCGCCTTGGCCGCCTTGGCCACCTTGGCAGGGCCGGGCCCTGCGGTGGGGAAGGGTTACTGGGAGGACTGGGAGCACCGGGAGGGGGATTGTTGGGCGCGGGGATGGGGCTGGGGTGGACTAGGAGGAACTGGGAGGGGCTGCTTGGCACGGGCTCGGCGATACTGGGTTGTACTGGGCGATACTGTGTTGTACTGGGTTATACTGGGTTTTACTGGGCTGTGCTGGGGCACGCACTGTTATAATGGTCCGTACTGGTCACTCACCGGCCTCGTCCCCGCTGCCGCTCTCCTCCTTCTTCTTCCCGCGCTTCGGCATGGCAGAGGCCCCGCCCACAGCGCGCCGGACACGCCCCCTCGGCCGCTGGCACCGCCCCTCCGGTTCAAAGCCCCGCCCCTGCGACGGGGAGCGAGGCCGCCGTCAGCGCGAGCGCCGCGGCCAATCAGAGCGCGCCGGACGCCGAATCCCCACCTTCCCGCCACAGCTCAGCCAATCAGGGAGCGCCTCCACCACGCCGCGGTACCCAATCAGCGCCCGCCGCCGCCACGTGCTGCGCTGGAGGCCGAACCGGGGCCAATCGGGATGGGGGCCGGGGCTGGAACCGGGAACAATCGGCTCCCGGGGGGTTCCAAACCGGGGCCGAACAGCGCCCGATGCCTTTCGTTAAACCCGCCCGGTCTCCTGCCCGCACCAGCTGCCAATCATCTCCCGCAGTGACCAACCAGCGCCCGCCGCTCTCCCGGTTAAACCCGCCCCCCGTCCCTCCCGCATTCACCCCAATCAGGGCCCGCCGTACCTCAGCCCGCGGGACCAATCAGCAACCGCGACGGTGGCGCGCGGGACCAATCAGCGAGTGCGGGGGGGGCGCGGCGGCGGCAGGAACGGCGCGAGCGGCTCCGCGCGCGCGGGAGCCGTGAGGGGAGGGATGAATGGAGGGGGCGTGGCCGGAACCGGAAAGGCTCCGGAGTAGGAGAGGGAGCGGAAGTGGCGTAGCGGCGGCGGCGGGAGAACCGCGGGGAGGAGAAGCGGCGGCGGCGGCGGCGTGACGTCACTGGGGGGAAACACCGGGGACCCCCCTGCGTGACGTCATGCCGACCGTGCTGGGCCTGGAGGGCTCCGCCAACAAGGTGGGCGCGGGGGTGGTGCGGGACGGCGCCGTCCTCAGCAACTGCCGCGCCACCTACGTCACGCCGCCGGGACAGGGTGACGCCATTTTCCACCTCCCCCCCAACCCCCCGGTGTCCCCCCGCGGTGTCCCCTCATCGCTGACCCCTCCCCGCTCCTTTTCCCCCCCTCAGGCTTCGCCCCCGGCCCCACCGGGCGGCACCACCGGGCCGTGCTGCTGGGCCTGGTCCAGGCCGCGCTGCGCGAGGCGGGGATCGAGCCCCGGGACCTCGACGGGGTCGCTTTCACCAAGGGTAAGGGCGAAAACCGCCCCAAAAAACCACTCCGGGAACCCAAAACCGTCCACGGACCCACAAACCCCCCCACAGATCTCCCGTGGACCCCACAAACCCCCACAGATCTCCCATAGATCCTCTCAAAACACCCCAGAGAACCCCCAAATCCAGCTCAAACCCCCTGCAGACCCTCCCGGGTGTGTTCAGGGGATGCTGGATTGTTTTGGGGGTCCTTGCGATGCTGGGGAGGGGGGATTTGGGGTCCTGGGATAATTCCCAGGGGTAACTCGGAGGGTCCTGAGGGCTTTTGAGGGGAGCCAGGGAGGGTTTTGGGGGCTCGCGGGGTTTTGGAGGTTCCCATGGGGCATTGTGGAGGGGTCCTGAGGGGATCCGGGGTTCCCAGAGTGGGTTTTGGAGGGGTTTCGGGGGGATTTTTTGGGGTGGTGTGACCCCAGTTTTGGCCTAGGCCTTAGGATGGACTCCCCCACAGCCGTGGGTGAGACCATTATCGAGGGTTCGGGGGGGGAGGGAGAAATTGGAGTGTCCCAGGAGGCGTTTTGGTGGTCCTGGGGTTTTGGGGGGGTTCTGGACCATCCCACCTACCCTGAGGGTTTGGGGGGATTCTGGACCATCCCACCTGCCCTGGGGTTTGGGGGGGTTCTGGACCATCCCACCTGCCCTGGGGGTTATGGGGGGGGGTTCTGGACCATCCCACCTGCCCTGGGGGTTTTGGGGGGGTTCTGGACCATCCCACCTGCCCTGGGGTTTTGGGGGGGTTCTGGACCATCCCACCCTCTCTGAGCTTTCCGGGGCCTTCTGGACGATCCCACTCCTCTGTGTGAGGGGTGTTTTCGGGTGACACGACCCCGATACGGGCAGGCCCGGGCATGGGGTCCCCCCTGGCCGTGGTGGCGGCCGTGGCGCGGACCCTGGCGCAGCTGTGGGGGCGCCCCCTGCTGGCCGTCAACCACTGCGTGGGACACATCGAGATGGGGCGGCTGCTCGGCGCCGCCCCCGACCCGCTCGTGCTCTACGTCAGCGGCGGCAACACGCAGGTGCCTGTCGCGACAGGGGAGCCGCGATGTCGCGGGGGAACGGTCGATATATCGCGAGATATCGGAGAGAAGAGGGAGGGAACGGCCGATATCGGGTGGGGGGAGTGAGGGAGCGGCCGATATCGCGAGATATCGTGAGGGAAGAGGGAGAGAACGGCCGATATCGCGAGATATCGTGAGGGAAGAGGGAGAGAACGGCCGATATCGCGAGATCTCGTGAGGGAAGAGGGAGGGAACGGCCGATATCGCGAGATATCGCGAGGGAAGAGGGAGGGAACGGCCGATATCGCGAGATATCGTGAGGGAAGAGGGAGGGAACGGCCGATATCGCGAGATCTCGTGAGAGTAGAGGGAGAGAACGGCCGGTATCAGGCGCTGTCACCGTGGCGACACGACATGACGTCACCCGTTTCCCGCAGGTGATCGCCTATTCCCGGCGCCGGTACCGGATCCTGGGGGAGACCCTGGACGTGGCCGTCGGGAACTGCATCGACCGATTGGCCCGGCTGCTCCAGGTGGGTCACACCTGGCCAGGCCACGCCCACCCAGGCCACGCCCACCCAGGCCACGCCCACGCTGACCCCGCCTCTTTTCCCACAGATCCCCAACGCCCCCAGCCCGGGCTACAACGTGGAGCAGCTGGCCAAGAGGTGACCCCCAAAACCGACCCCAAAACCGCCCCTCCGGATCCCTGGAATCCCACGGGAGCCTCCTCAGGATCCCCAAATCCCCTAAAATCTCCCCAAAATCCCTTCGGGGGACGCCAGGGGCCGCCAGCTGATCCCGCTGCCCTACGTGGTCAAGGGGCTGGACGTGTCCTTCTCGGGGCTCCTGTCGCATCTCCAGGTACCCCAAAACCCTGCGAGGGACCCCAAAATCCGTCAGGAGGGTCCTTGGAATGCGGGGGGGGGGCCCCACAAAATCTCTGGGAGCTTCCCCAAAATCCGTGCAGGCGCATCCAGGTGTTTGGGACACCTGCGCAGTCAATGGGGGGGTGGCAGAGGATGCCCCAAATTCCACCTGGGAGGGTCCCAGAGAGCCCTGGGGGGGGACCCAAAATAAAAGGGGGAGACCCTAAAGCCCTTTTTTTTTTTTTTTAATTTCCCAGGCAGTGACCCCCAAATTGTTGGAGTCGGGGGAGGCGACTCCGGAGGATTTGTGCTTTTCCCTGCAGGTGGAATGGCTAAAAAAAACCGGGATTTTGGGAGGGTTTGGGGCGGGTATTTGGGGTTTGGAGGGGTTGATGTGGGTTTGGTGACATTAATTGGGATTTAGGGAGTTGATTGGGGTTTGGGGGGAGATTAATTGGGGTTTAAGGGTCGTGGATGGGTTTGGGTGGTTTGGGAGGTCGTTTTGGGCTGTTAAAGTGATTTTGGGAGTATTTTAGGGAGCGTTTATGAGGGCTGAGGGGTGACTAAGTGAATTTGGGGGATTTCAGTGGGGTCTCAGGGCGATCTGGGGAGTTCTGGAAGGCCTGGGGCTGTGAAGGAGAGGTTTGAGCCGGTGAATGCCGATTTTGGGGTAATTTTGGACCTGGGAGTGGGGCTTTAGGGGACGCTTTGGGGCGAGATTTGGGTTTTCCTGTGATTTTGGGGGTTTTTTTTTGGGGTCTGTGGCAGGAGACAGCGTTCGCCATGCTGGCTGAGGTGACCGAGCGGGCGCTGGCGCTGACCCGGGCGAGGCACCTGCTGCTCGTGGGGGGCGTGGCCTGTGAGTGGGCGGGGCCTCACCTGGGCCGGGCGCGGTCACACCTGGGAGGGCCGGGAGCTTTCGGAACCCCCGTCTTGGGTGGTGGGAGCCAAATTTTACGGGGCAGGGAGTCACCCCCAAAGGGCGTGGTTGCATCTGGGAAGGGCCCAGCTCCACGTCATGAGGGGTGGGACCCCCATTTGGGGGTCAGCCACACCCAGCACACCTGTGTGCCCAGGTAACCACCGGCTCCAGGAGATGCTGCAGACGATGTGCAGAGCCCGGGGGGCTGAGCTGTGCCCCATAGATGACAGGTGAGGGCGCGCCCCGCCCCCTGGGGGTTGGGACACACCTGTCGACACACCTTTGGGACACACCTGTGACCTTTGACCTGTGGTTTTTTGCCCCCAGATATTGCATCGACAACGGAGCCATGATCGCCCAGGCTGGGTGGGAGATGCTGAGGGTGGGGCAGGTGACAGAGCTCAGCCAATCAGGGATCACGCAGAGGTCAGGGGGCGTGACCGTACAGGTGGGCCCAGGTGGGGACCGTCTGACCTCTGACCTTTGACCTCTGGCTGCACACAGGTACCGGACGGATGAGGTGGAGGTGACCTGGAGGGACTGAGGTGACCACGCCCTCAACCGGCCCCGCCCAATATGGCCACGCCCATGTAATAAAAGACGCCCCTCCCCTAAGTCCTGGCCACGCCTCTTCATTTGTGGATGACGCCATTCAATTGGTGACCACGCCCATCTAGAGAGGGCCAATCAGCTTCTGACCCTCCTTGTCTGTCACCGGTGGTAGCGATCCCTCGCGCTGTCAATCATCTACAAGCCACGCCCCTTGCATTGGGTTCCATCAATCAACAGCGATCCGCTGCGCCTGCGCGCCAATTGCATAACCCTATCCTGTTCCGAACGTAATGGAGCCCAGCGGCCAATAGGATTGGTGGGCGGTGGAGCGCCGGCCAATAGGAGCGGGGGGGGCGTGGCTTAGCTGAGGGGGCTGGCTGGCGAAGTCGGGAACGGTTCAGTCTGTGAGCGGCCGGCGAAGGGTGAAGGTAGGGGCGGGAAATGGCGGTTCTGTGGGGGGACGGCGGCTCTTTGTACGTGCGTGTTTCTATCGCGACACGGCGCTCGATCGCGATCCCGACCCGCGTTCCCCCCGTCGCCGCCAGCCGCGGGCGCTCGGGGTTTTAGCGGTGTCGCAGAGCAGCGGCGGCTCCTTCTTCACCCGACGGAGCAGAGGAGGCTTCGGGGCTCCACCGGATTTTGGGGGGTCGCACAAATGCTCCGGGCCGGGCCGGGCCGGGAGGGTTCTCGGGCGGGCTCGCTCTGACTCCGTTTGTCTTTCCTCAGGCGGAGCCGCCGGCGGGAAACGCCTTCTGGAGGATCTGCGTTGTATAATTTCCTTTTTACATCCCCTTTGCCTAACCTGAAGATTCTTTATTTTCCCTCACGATTTGATCCTCCCCCCCCCCCCGCCACGTGTCTTCCCATCCTATCATAAAGATGTTTGAATCTAATGTCTTATATATTTTAAGGCAAATTTCGCATGTTTTTCATTAATTTGTAAGGTTTGGTAGGATTTTTTACCTGTTTTACCCTTTTTGAGGTAATTTTTCCCCTCAAAAACGAGCCGCTTGCAGGAAACAGCTCCCTGGCGGTCTCGGCCCTATAAAACCACGATTTTAAATATTTATTTTACATTATAAAATTGGTTTTCCGCTTCAAAGAACTGTTTCCGCATTTTCAATTAGTAGTTCGATTTTATGAATGAGTTTTTGGTGGATTTTTGACTAATGTGGGGGAATTTTGCCTCAGAGTTCCACCCTCGGGGTTCGTCCCATCACTCACGTGTTTTCCCTCCCTTTCAACGTTACCAAAAACAAAGTCATAAAAATTATAAACCGTAAAAGACTTTTAACGAGGTTTACTTGTTGTTTTTAATCGATTTTACTCTTTTTTTGCTTCTTTCCTCCAACTTTCCCTGAGGCTCTGCCCGCCCCGGGAAAGCACGCCAACAAATGTCCGATTTTATCCCTTTAAATTTTCACTTTCCTCCGTTTTTAGTGAGGCGTGGGGCTTATAACATTTTAATTTCTATTCTTCTCAGTTTTTTTTTTCCGTTAAAACGTTTTTGTAATGTTGATATTATATTTATTTTACTGATCGCTGGAATAAATGCTGTTTCACTGTGGAATTTGCCGCGAGTTTGTTGAGGGTAAACCTAAAACTTACTCAAGAGTGCTTTTAAATAAAACTGGGTTTAAAATGCGTTTTAATTTAAATTGCGGGGGAGTCTCGGCCCGATTCGAGCGGCCCGGAGCGCGGGGGGGGCGGAGCCTACGGGCGGCGGGAAAACGGAGGGGCGGGGCATCGCCTTCGGGGGCGGGGCGTGCCCTTAAATGGCAAGGAAGGGGCGGGGCGAGGCCTAGGGGGGAGCGTCCCGTCCGCCATCTTGAGTGTGTCACCGCAGCCAATGGGAGCGCCGCCGACCGGAAGGGGCGGGGCGAGAGGCCGGAAGGGGGCGAGGCCGCGCGCTGTCATGGCGGCGCCCGAGGAGGAGGCGGCGGCGGCGGAGAGCGAGGGAGGGGAGGGGGGAGATGAGGAGGCGCTGAAGCGGCTCGAGGTGTGGGACTGGCGGGGAGACCTTGCCCGGGAAGGGGCGCGACCCCCGGGGAAGATTTGGGGGGGAGGTCTCTGAGAGGGTGGGACCCCTCTGAGGGGAGCTGGGCGCTCTCTGGGAGGAGATGAGGTTTCCTGAGGAGGGGGCGGCTGGAATTTTGGGGTCTCGGACGCCTCTGTTTGGGGGTGTGGGAGGTGAGGACCCCCGTGTGGGCAAAGTGGCCGTTTTGGGGGAATTTTCTTGTTTTTTAGGGGTCTTGGGATCACTTTATGGCGGGCTTTAAGGGATGTATTTTGAGGGGAAATTGCGATTATCCGAGGGGGGACTTTGAGGGTTTTTTGAGGGGGAAGTCGGGGTTATTTCGGGATGGAATTTGGGCTGACCTGGGCGCAGGGTTGGGGTGATTTTTGGGGGGTCTCTGCCTGTCCCTCTCCCCCAGGCCCTGGTGACAGACCTGTATCGCTTCCGGGACGCGCTGCCCCCGCGGGACGCTGCCGGTGACCCCGGCCATGAGCCCCAGGACCCTTTGGTGGCCGAGATGGAGAAGACGCTGAAGCTGATGGAGGGGATCCAGGGTAGGGGATGGCGCTGGGAGGGGCTGGGTGTGTCCAGGTGTGTCCAGGTGTGTCCAGGTGTGGCTCTTCTCACCTCCCCCCCTCTGACATTGTCCCCTCCCTGTCTCCCCCCCTGTCCCCGCAGTGTCCCCAGAGGGGCGTGGCCGTGCCCTGGTGCTCCGAGCTCGTGCCCTGGGCGTGGCCCCCGAGGTGGGCGGGGCCCGGGCGGAGCAGGTGCTGGGCCACGCCCTGAAGCTCGACCCCGCCCTGGGCGCGGCCTGGCGCCAGCTCGGGGAGCAAAGATGGCGCCGGGGGGACCTGAGGGGAGCCCGCGACGCCTTCGGGGGGGCCCTGCAGCAAGTGAGGCGGGGAGGGGTCCTGGGGGG